TTCAGAAGAAGCTCGAGCATGTGACATGGATCCAGGAGAACATGGACTTTAGTGAGAGGTCTTCAGGATGGCAAAGAAAGAGAGAAAATATCAGTTATTCATTAAATCATTTTTTCATCATTATTTTTCTGTATTCATCTGTGTGTAAGAGCACATTTATAAATTCAACAGTGTACTACCCAGACAACAAAGGTCAGTATTCAGGTAATCAACATCTATTCAAAGTTAAGAAGATAAACATTATTGTAATCATGCTGTTTTCAGCTCTCTCACTCACACAATGATATTCCACATTAAATTGTCTCAGATTTTGGGTGAGGAAAAATTAAGCAGTTTATTGTGGATAGTACTTCATCTTAACATGAAACAAATATAACCTGAATTATTTAAATCATTAACAGGTCCCAACTCTCTGTGCTTTAGTACAGAACATACAGTAACTCATTTATTATTAACATGAGCTCAGTACATGGCTGTATTCTTCAAACTATTTCTTATACTTTATATCTATGTGCTTTATATCTTATTTTCATTCCATGTTATTTATATTTTATATTTCTACAGCTATATTCTGTGTATGAGTTCAGTGAAAATTAATCTGGTTATTAATATAGTTCTTAATGGTTACAGATGCTCTTACAAAGTGATTTTTGTTAACAGTTTGCTCAAATCTTAAGACACTACATCAACCATGTAACTTTAATGTCATCCTCTATAACCTACACAGCACATTAGGTTCAGTTCAGTTTATGTTACTGACGGATAATTACTACACAAAGTTTGTTTTTTAATGTCCACATTTAGGTGGAGTATAACATTCATCATAACGTCAGATAACCACCGAGCTGAACCTTTAGCTTCTAACATCACACAAACTCATTATTTTCAACAACAACATCTTAACAAACATTTCTAAACCATTGACTGTAAATAATGTAAATAATGTAAATAATGTAAATAATGAGCTACACAGTTAGCCGACTGGTTTACAAGCTAACTCTAAACAAGCTAGGTCCGTAAATATAAATATAACACATGAGTAAGCAGTAAATATAACACTACTATATCACTTACCGAAAAAACTGAAGCATCAACTTGTTGGATGGTCTGTTAACCGCACAGCAAGCCATGTATGTTGTCAGATATGTGTTAAACAAACTCTCCAAACGAAGTAAGAAAGAGGAGAAATCAGACGGATCAAGCTGTTAGCCTCCTGACCTGCTGACCGCGCAGAGCTGTCAATCAAATCTGACACAACCCTAATATGGGCATAGTCGTTTTCCTTAATAGAATAAAATCCGATGAGTTATAAAAACATTCACCCCCCCCACAGTGTGAGGAGAAGGGGCCGTCAACTTCTCAGATATATCTCGTTTTTTGAACCAGGCTGTAAACATGTTGATTCCTGTGGTAAAAACGGGCTTTTTTGGCTGTGGGCTTATGGCACTTCCGGCGCTTCTGCAGCCAGCCTCAAGAGGAACCTCGAGGAACTGCAGTTTTTTGTACTTCCGCATAGGCTTCATTTTTCCAGACCGGAGGTTGCCCCTTGGTTATGACACATCTCCAGGATAGTGTGTGGTTTCAGTTACTCTCATGTTTTTACATCTTGTGTTTTTGACACTTACCCTGCATCTCGTTTCAGATCCTTTGCTTTCTTCTACTCTCACCTGTGTCTCCTGCGTCTGTGATTACCTGATGTGTCTCACCTGTGTCTAGTTGGGTTCTTAGTACAATTGTCACATTGCAGGAAGTCACATAACTAGAAATACGTCATGCTGACACTTTTGTGCTGCTAGATGGAAAACCAAATCTCCCAAATGCCTTTTTTTTGTTTAGGCCAGACTTATACTCTGCAAAGTCAGGCTGTATCCGACTCAAATGTTTGAGTCTGATGCACACTGGAGTGGAGCAGCACTGCAAAGAGAGAGAGAGAGAGAGATCAATGATAATTAAGGGAGGTCAAATACCCTTTTTCTCGTAAGTGGCAGCCGAGGACACGACTGCATCTGTCAGTCTTCTTCAGAGAAGATGAAACTGGTCTGAAACATTTCACTTCCCTCTCTTAGCTCAGTAACCGTTCAACAGACAGGCACCACTGCTTAACCGTGACAACAGACACGTTTCACTACTTAAAACAAGACGTTATGAGCTACTTGTTTTAGACTTTAGATGCAGTGAAGTTTGGTTTGCAAAATACAAATTCAGAATTTCGCTGTAATTCTGTGATAAGTCTTTGTATATGTTGTATCCACTTTCAACATTTTTCTCATTAAAAGAACATTTTTAATCCTTGAGAAAGGGCAAACACAAGCAACACAAAAAAAGTTGGCAAAAAACTTTTTCAGGTTTTAAAGAATAGTTTAAATGTTGTTTGAATTGTGTATATGAACAACTGAAACTTGTGGGAAAATAATTGTTAAAGCTACTGAAATACTTTTCAGAAAACTTTTAAAATACTTGAAAGACTCATCATCAGATCAGCTCATTGAGTGATTGAAATCCATCATTTCCATAAAGAGCCACTTTGCATGAGCAGCAGCATGCTCCAGTGCTCGGGGAGAGTTTAAAGTCCTGAGAGTTGAACACTGCAGGACTGACAGCTGTCCTTCATCACAACAGGAGACACAGAAATCCTCCTCCTCCTCATCCAAAAACATGACTTTGATCTGCGTCCTCATCTGGACTCTCCTCCTCTGCTGCTGCTTCACAGGTAAAGTCCAGACAATCAAACTCCTCTCCTCTATGAACATCCGTCTCTCTGAAATGAAGCCCACACAACCCTGATGCTGCTTCATGTGTTTGTCTCTGTCTCCTCAGAGTCCAGAGGACAGGTCACAGTGACTCAGCCTGCAGCAGTGAGATCTGCTCTGGAGCCTCCGTCACTTCTCATGTACAACCAGTAAGGATGTAGATACTGCAGGCGGCAAACCCTTGTTAGCCTGGTACCAACAGAAAGATGGAGGAACTCCTAAACTGCTGATTTACTATGGTAGCACTCGAGTATCGGGGACTTCAAGTCGTTTTACAGGCAGTGGATCAAACTCTGACTTCACTCTGACCATCAGTGGAGTCCAGACTGAAGACGCAGCAGTTTACTACTGTCAGAGTTTACATATCATCAACAGTGAGTGGGTGTTCACACAGTGAAAAAGCGTCGTACAAAAACCTCCCTCAGTCAGCCTGAACAGAAACCAGACTGACTGCTGCAGCAGGAAGCTTCTGCAGAGACTGACACACTTCACTGAGGACACACACTCAAACACTACACTGACTGGTTTCCATCACCTCTTCCCTGTAATACAAAAACTACACAATCAGTTATTCAATATCATATATTTCCACTATACAGTACTTAGCATTTCAAAATGAACCCTTGGCATATGTCAGATATTTATGAAGAGATTTTTAGTGTTGTCCTCGTTCTCTTCTCAAAGGTGACTTCAAGAGAGTGTGGGGTAAAGCCGATCACAGAGCCAGCCTCTTTGATCAGCTTATTGATCTTATTTGTATCATCCAAACAGAAGCTGCCCCCCCCCAGCACAGAACAGCATAAAAGAGGACACTAGCCAAGATACAAAACGTACAGAAGGTTCTTGCTAAAGTCAGAGGATCTAAGCTTCCTTAAGAGTCTTGACTGAGCCTTCTTTAAAGACACATCAGTGTCCATTTTCCAATTTAATGTACTGTCCATGAAGACATCGACATATTTATGAAACTGGACAGTTTGGATCTGCTATGAGGGGAAACATCGTCTTTCTTTCTTCTAAAATCAATAATACTTTCCAACATTCAATATGCATCACACCAGCTGACTAAAGATTCAATCTATGTTTTTGTTGGTCAGATTATTGCCTTGGGTAAGTAGGTGCACGAGAGCAGTAACATCTGAAAACTTGTGGACATGATGTCTGTGCACACTAACACAATCAGGACCTGGAGAGATGTCAGTGGGGCTGCTACACACTGCGACACAGGGAGCACAACAGAGCTGTTGGGGGTTCAGTGTCTTGCTCTAGGACACCTCTATAGCACTCGGAGAGTGACCTGGGACCTGGCAGCTTCCATACTTTGATGTGTACAGGGACTTAAACCAGCGACCCTCAGGTTCCCAAACAAGGTCCCTACAGACTGAGCTACTGTCGCCACAAATATATAAAATACAGCGCCTGCTCTATCAACTGAGCTAAACTGGTGCCCTGCAGAGGAAAGGTTAGTCTGGTTCCAAACTTGTTTCCATAAGAGTCCTACTAATTATATCCAAGAAAAGCAGAGCACCCAAAGCACCCACAGGTAAAAGAAGGAGTTTACTACTGTCAATAATTAAAAAACATTTGAATTGTTTTCATTGATAAATATCTCTTTTTATGAGTTAAGTATTAAATCGTTTTCTTTTGACATCCAACAGAATATGCAGAACAGTCTTAACCCTAACCCTACCAAAAAGCCTTTGAATAAACTTTCCACAATGTGTGTTCTTATGATTTTAATTATTTAAATCTAATTTTGACAACCACAGAGCAGGCATTGAACAAAATGCCAGAAGCAATGTTTTATCACTTTATGCTGATGATATCATCCGTTTTATTTGTAACACATTTCTTACCCACCTTCATTATTTTCAGAGATTTAACAATTCAACACATCAGTCATCAGATTGAGACATTTCACCATCTTCAACAGCAGATTTTGATGATATAAGATTATTTGGAAGTTTTCCATTGCTATTTTTTTTTTATTCTTTAGATGAACTTACCAAAGTCCGTTCAAAAATTGTTAACCTGTTAAGAAATGAAAGATATGCACAACAAACACTGTTTGATTCCATTTTTATTCTTTTGCTCATTTTAAGAAAAACTGTCAATAAAAAAGGCAAGAAAAGTTAACGTTGAAACATAAAATCATAGAGAGGGAAAGAAGGCATTTAGCGTGTAAACTGAGGGCAGTTTCAGAAGTGAAACAACGGCAGGGGGAAACCAGCAGCAGAGTCCAGGTGATACAGCTCAGTCCTGGGAACACTGGTCCCTCCTCAGTGTCTCTGAGACCAGCGTCTGGGAGCCCTGGGTGGCCTCACAGGTCACAGAGCCCACCTTCATCCACTGGCCTGCAGAGAGCCTCAGGGTGCTGCTCCAGCTGTAACGAGCGTCCTGCTCCATCACCGCAGGGCCCCTGCTCTCCTCCCAGCTGCCGCCGCTGATGCCGTCCACCTTCCAGGCCAGACTCCAGTCTGAGGGGAAGCCCTTGTTGGCCAGGCACACGAGCGTGGCCTTCCCCTGCTGCAGCTCCTCATTGGAAGGGGGCAGAACCATCAAGGTGGGACGGGCTTCACCTAGGAGACACCAATCAGAACAGAGGACAGGAACCACACAGCTGTCAGTCAAACACATCACTCCTGGACACCTTTGCAGTTGAAAGCAGAGTTTCTCCTTTAAGGAGTTTCTGTCAGATGTTTTTTTCTGCTTCAGCAGTCACTCACACATTGTTTCACTTCCCTCTCAGAAATCTGTCATGCAAATCAACACAGAGACGATCATCGTACGAGAGACCAGAATACACTGGACTTAAAATATAACGCTGAAAAATCATCAAATCACTCAAACCTTTGAAATACCTATTTTTCTAACTCTTAAGTGGAAACATGAACCAAATCTATCAATAAAACATGTTTTAAATCATAAAAGGCTAAACAAAATCTTAAGTGACATAATCTGCAGAAAGAGATCAGAGACTTTTAACATTTTCATTCAAAATTCTTACAACTTCCCTTTGAGCAATTTATTCAAAATGACAAAATGAAATAAGGGCCTTTAAGAGTTATCGTTGATGTGGAATAGATATCTGAAACCAGAGAATTTTTTTATGAATCTGAAGCTGCTGAACTGAATGTAAACGATCTGTCCTGAGATGGTACAGGAGGACAAACACAAACAGGAAAAAAATATAATGTAAAAATGTATAAATGTTTCTTTATTGTAAATGAAAAAAAAAAAATCACGATTACATTACACTGTTTAGAATCAACAGAAACTTACCTCCGACATCCAGTCTGGTTCCTCCACCAAAAGTCCACCACAGTGATACAAAGTCACTGAGTCGCCGTACAAAAACCTCTCACTGCACAGAGACACGGCTCTCTGACTTCAACACATCGTACTCAAACTACCAGCCCTCAAGATGCAACTTCACCTTTACAATGATAACACTCATTTACTCTGGAACAAATGATGACTCTGGCTTCAGATTTGACATTTATTTTGATACGATTTTGTGTTTCATTAAAAATTCGTTTTTAGTCTAAATACAGAGAAAAACATGCACACAAATGTTTGGGTCAGTCATTTTCAGTCTTGCATTTCAAAATAAAATAATCTCTTGACATACAAAGGGTTAATATTTGACTTACTTCCAACATCCAGTCTGGTTCCTCCACCAAATGTGTACCACAGTGATGCAAACTCACTGAGTCGCCGTACAAAAACCTCTCACTAAAGAAAGTAAAAAAAATGCTCTTGTCTGCAAAACCTTCAAATGAACTGAAAAGTATAAAGAATACATTTCCATTAATATTCAAAATTAAGACATTTTATTCCGGGGATTTCTCCAGAAGCATGAAGACGGTTTTAAAAACATGTCTTATTGAAAGTTAAAAAAATTAACTTTATAATTAGTATAATCCAAGTCCCCAGTTAGTCAGAGCATTTCCATAAAGAGCCACTTTGCATGAGCAGCAGCATGCTCCAGTGCTCGGGGAGAGTTTAAAGTCCTGAGAGTTGAACACTGCAGGACTGACAGCTGTCCTTCATCACAACAGGAGCCACAGAAATCCTCCTCCTCCTCATCCAAAAACATGACTTTGATCTGCGTCCTCATCTGGACTCTCCTCCTCTGCTGCTGCTTCACAGGTAAAGTCCAGACAATCAAACTCCTCTCCTCTATGAACATCCGTCTCTCTGAAATGAAGCCCACACAACCCTGATGCTGCTTCATGTGTTTGTCTCTGTCTCCTCAGAGTCCAGAGGACAGGTCACAGTGACTCAGCCTGCAGCAGTGAGATCTGCTCTGGGAGCCTCCGTCACCTTATCATGTACACCAGTAGGATGTAGATACTACAACTACAGACTCGACCCCGATTCCTGACGACAGAAACAGAAGATGGAGGAACTCCTAAACTGCTGATTTACTCTGGTAGCACTCGAGAATCAGGGACTTCAGATCGTTTTACAGGCAGTGGATCAAACTCTGACTTCACTCTGACCATCAGTGGAGTCCAGACTGAAGACGCAGCAGTTTACTACTGTCAGAGTTTACATGATATCAACAGTCAGTATGTGTTCACACAGTGAAAAAGCGTCGTACAAAAACCTCCCTCAGTCAGCCTGAACAGAAACCAGACTGACTGCTGCAGCAGGAAGCTTCTGCAGAGACTGACACACTTCACTGAGGACACACACTCACGAATGTGTGCTCAGTTTAGTTTACTGTCCTGCAGGCTCTTTGACCTAAAATAACTTTTCAACTTACACAATAACAGCCAATGTTTAGGGACGGATAAAAGCAACACATAGCAGTACTTGAATAAGAGAGGAAGCAAACACTATACAAGAGCCAGTCTGCACTTTATGTGTTTTTATTTGCCTCTATAAGGTGTTCACAAATGTCCAACTGAACCTGGGCCTTAAAGCCCCGTTTCCACCAAGCGGTCTGGTTTGGTTCAGTACAGTCTGACACGGTAAACCCTGATCTTGTTTGCGTTTCAACAGCCAACCGTACATCATAAAACAACAGCGGCACGACAGACAGCCAAGACATTCAATAAAGAAGAAGAAGAATGTGACACAGTAAATAAAAATGAATGATTGCATCTCCCAGGTCGTCCATGGGGCGGAGCTACGGGCTGACATATAGTCGCATAAAAACAGAAAACAGCCTTTTAATGACTCTCTCCAAAACGTGGTGCGTTTTGTGTTTGTCCTTTATTACCGCTGTCAAGTGAAGATTCTTCTTTCGACCAATCAACAGACTGCAGTGTTTCTAGCTCCAACCTTTAGAGTCGGTTCAGTACGCTTGGCACCCCAACAGAAGAGTACCAAAAAAGTATTCATAACAGTAGAAACGCCAATACATGTGTACCATACCGAACTGAACCGGACGGTTCTTAAGTTTCTAACTACACTCTTCTCCTCTGTCGCCCCCGGTGGTGGAAAATAATTCCAAACTTCATTGGATCTGCAGAGTCCCTTTGCACCTTTAAGAAAAAGCTAAAGACCCAGCTCTTTATGAACACCAATGACCTTCATGATGATGATGAAGATGAAGATGGTGTTGTTTGGTAATGATGATCACGATATTTAGGATGGTTTGATGCTGATTAGAACTCTAAGAACAGCTGTTGAAGTTGTGCTTTCCTGTCAGCATCTGTGTGTCAGATCAGACTGAAAGCTGTTCATTTGCACTTACTGACTTTGTTTCCTCCTCTCTAGATCCTCGCTTGTGTTGCACTTTGGATAATAGCGTCTGCTAAGTGAATTGTAGAGTTGAAGTGACTCTGAAAGATTAAAAGTCCCAAACCTCAAAGGCACAGTTTCTTTTCCTTTCAAGTGATCACAGGTATCTGGATCCTGCTTCTCCATTCAATGCAAAGTGTGTGAAAACAAAACCTTGACTGGCTCCTTTCTGGATCCATAAAAGAAACAAACAGTCAAATGGAGTCAAAATATTCAACCTGAAATAAGATAAAACAAGTCAATATGTAGAAAACTGATATACTCTGTAAATAGATAAGAAAATGCACGAGCATCTTCTTAGAAACACATAACCATCAAATCTTCACACCCATTACATCACCATTAATTTCAAGAACTACTCAGAACTACTAGAACTACTGAAATGTAGCTTCATGCCACAGCTGTGACTACGTCAGCTGAATGTCCTCGTCTCTATGAGGTGTAAAGTGATCCTCTTCAGTGAGTCCTTACAGGAGAGTCTCTGTGGAGACTGAATGAGCTGCTTCACTAACAGTCTGGATTTACACTTCACTACACTTATATTATAGCATTTATTTATATTTATAGCATCCCATTAATCCAGCCATCCAGATATACCTAATAATTCACTTTTTTTAGTCTACATCTGTAAATTTTGTAATTACTGTACATAGCACAGACTCTTGCACTTTGCTT